ACGGTGGGGATGGTGTTCTTGGGGTCATAGGCAGCATTCCTCCTCCTCCAAACACGGCGAGTTGAGTTGATGCCAAAGAGCTCCATTTTGGTCTCATCTGACCACAACACTTTCACCCAGTTCTCCTCTGAATCATTCAGATGTTCATTGGCAAACTTCAGACAGGCATGTATATGTGCTTTCTTGAGCAGGGGGACCTTGCGGGCGCTGCAGGATTTCAGTCCTTCACGGCGTAGTGTGTTACCAATTGTTTTCTTAGTGACTATGGTCCCAGCTGCCTTGAGATCATTGACAAGATCCTCCCGTGTAGTTCTGGGCTGATTCCTCACCGTTCTCATGATCATTGCAACTCCACGAGGTGAGATCTTGCATGGAGCCTCAGGCCGAGGGAGATTGACAGTTATTTTGTGTTTCTTCCATTTGCGAATAATCGCACCAACTGTTGTCACCTTCTCACAGAGCTGCTTGGCGATGGTCTTGAAGCCCATTCCAGCCTTGTGTAGGTCTCCAATCTTGTCCCTGACATCCTTGGAGAGCTCTTTGGTCTTGGCCATGGTGGAGAGTTTGGAATCTGATTGATTGATTGCTTCTGTGGACAGGTGTCTTTTATACAGGTAACAAGCTGAGATTAGGAGCACTCCCTTAAAGAGTGTGCTCCTAATCTCAGCTCGTTACCTGTATAAAAGACACCTGGGAGCCAGAAACCTTTCTGATTGAGAGGGGGTCAAATACTTATTTCCCTCATTAAAATGCAAATCAATGTAAAAAAAAATTGACATGCGTCTTTCTGGATTTTTTTGTTGTTATTCTGTCTCTCACTGTTCAAATAAACCTACCATTAAAATTATAGACTGATAATTTATTTGTCAGTCGGCAAACGTACAAAATCAGCAGGGGATCAAATACTTTTTTCCCTCACTGTATACCCAATCAGGGAGGAGAGTCAGTAGAAAGTAAATCCCACATTAATCAGGCGCTATGTCATTTAGTGGTTCCCATTATAAGCCAAGTGGGATTTGGCTGAAACGCGGCGCCAAGTGAAGAACTTACTATCCAAATAGTTTCAATTTCCTCTCTGATTCTCCATACGGCTATGAACTCATCTGTATCAATGTGAGTATTTCATTATGTGGGCCGGTCGACAGAGCTTTAACTAACAGGCTTCGAGGGCCAGGTACCTATCAGAACACATAAGCGCAACTCTCGCTCGAATTGAAACTGATCCTTTTTATTGATTTATTTGTATTAAAAACATGAATGTGTTGGCCATGGGGTGAGATTTAATTATTGTCTTCTGACAAATATTATATAACAGACATGGGAATGTATCTGGCAAGGAACCACTGTTACACCACTGTTACACCACTGTTACACCACTGTTACACTACTGTTACACTACTGTTACACCACTGTTACACCACTGTTACACTACTGTTACACCACTGTTACCTTCTTTCTGCAAGGCCCCCTAGCTGATAGGCATCCATTAACTGAATCTAGGTCACAGCACTAATGTAACCAGCAGAGTTTTCTGAGCACCACAGGACTATGCTAGCCTGCATCACGTTCTATCAAACTACTGTCTATAATACTACAGTACCTTTACATACTTCATGCTTGGTGCATGTGGTTCCCACATGTGATCATACCATCTTGATATCTGGTTCTGTAGATTGTCCAGGTCCGTCTGGGAAGTGGCCTGTAAACAAAACACAGGTGACTACGTTAAATGGGGTTTACTGTTTTCAAGTCCTGCTGAGGAAATGGATTTTGCACTTTCACAAAATGAAATATAACCGCATTGTGCAGTGCCAAAGGCCTATATATCAAACTAACATTTGAGAGGGCGAAGCTCCCTGTAAAAAGTGCTACCCATGCTGGAAAACAAATCTCTCTCGTTTTTTTTGGAGAGGCCCTGTAAATCATGTTCTTTATACCTCCGGCCGGAGTCAGACGACTCCCACGGTGGAAGAGGTGGATGATTGGAATACCAGCGGGCTCTCACTTAGTGGGTCAATAGAGGAGAACCTGTGTTCAACAGGAGAAACAGAGCCTGAGAGAGCAACCTGATCTCAGAGCATGTTGTATTATTATGTACATAAATCCACTCCATTCAGTACGAATTTGCAAAATGTACAATATTTTACAAATTTGCAAAACGTATGATATGTTACAAATTCCAATTTCAAATTCTAATGTTAGCTATGTGACTAATGCTAAGATTAGTTAACTGGCTAACGTTAGCTAGGCTAGGGCTTAGGGTTAAGGTTAGGGTTAAGGTTAGGAGTTGGGTTAAATAGTTAATTGAGTTTTGGCACTGATCTAGCTATGTATACAGTATCCTACATTATTATAACCTTCATTTCTATTTCTATCCCTAAATGATTTGTGTTGGTGCATGTAAATCCGAATATCAGACCTGTCTCTATACATCTCTAATTCTTCTCCCACTTGTATGTCTGTGAGAATCCCCGCTCATCCTCCCATGATGTATGTCTCTCTCTCCAGTCTGGTCTCATAGACTAGATGTAACATAGTAAACATACATCTGGGACACTCAAATGAGTTTGATATGTTAGGTTTGGTATGGTTACATAAGACAAGGTTACTTAAGGCAAAAACGAAAGGAGGGTGGTTGGTCGGAGTAGAACGCGAACATCTAGCAACCCATAGGTCGAATCTCATCACGGACAACTTTAGTATATTAGCAACTTTTCAACTACTTACTACTTTTTAGCTACTTTGCAACTACTTAGCATGTTAGCTAACCCTTCCCCTAACCCTAACCCTAACCCTAACCCTTTTAGCTAACCCTTCCCCTAACCCCAACCTTAATAAAATCTTTCACATTGGCTCAATTAATGCAAAAAGCTTGAAGGAACTTAAACAACAAACTTTATCTCATAATTGCTATTCTGAATACACAGAGCAACACTGGAACAGAGGCTTATTCAAACATAGATTAAAAAAGAATATGAGTAGGCACAGTAGAGCTTTCATAGACGCTGAGAGTCTCGTTAAGCAAGTTGTATAGGATTTTACAACTTTGGCAGATGTTTCCGATAAAAGGGGCCAACATGTATAGCATATCACCACATTGGAGTATATCCCACCTGCTGCCTGTCTGCAGCTTCCATTACCGTCAAGATATGGCTTGATATTTTGATGGAAGTGACATAGCAAGGAAATTACATTCGGAAATTGGAGGTGATTATTGCCTAACGACCGCTAAGGGCAATGTTTGGTGCCGTAGGGATAAAGAAAAAAGTGTCAAAGGGATATCAGTCAATATTTTGTCCAGGTGTGGTTGTGTGGAGACCCCTCTAAACATCTCACAGCCAGAGAGCCATGGCGCTGTGTTTATGGCTGCAACAACACTTTCTTTGTATCCTCTTCTGCCACTCCTGACCTACACCTGCAGTCACACCATGTTTGACTCCGGTATTTATTACATCCTAACATAATAAGGTTACATATGTTTCATCAGTGTTAGAGTTTTAGCAGACCACTCACATTACTTTGAGCCCTTGCCATCATTAGATACAGTGTGCATATGGTACAATCAAATATCAACATATTGAATATTGATAATCCGTTAAATTACCTCACTCACATTGATGCAAAATAAATTGCTTGCTTGCAAGATTTTACGACAGAATGTATACTGCACGTGCACTTCTGATTGAACTTCTGGAACTTAATCAACAGAATCTTACAAACAACCCTAGTCTTGGAGTTAAAGAGCAAGGAGTGGGAGTGGGAGTGGGAGGGCAGCAGCGGCAGCAGCAGAAGCAGCCGTGGAGGTGAAACGTGAGCATGTGAAAGCAATTACAGCAGCAGGCTGGAGCTGTTAGCCTGAATGTGGGCTAGAAGGGCTGCCGGCTCAGGCTACCTCCCCATCCCTTTCCCACCGCCAAGCTGTCCGCCGGCCAAGCCACTTCCCCACAACTCTGCTTGCCTAAAAACCAAGAGGCCCTTCACAGGCAGGCGTGGTCCCTGCTCCAGCTCCACTCACACTGTAAACTAGACCTCCTGGTTCCAACTATGATCTATTAACTCACACCCTGGGAGGACTAGGAGGGAGGGAGGGAGGGAGGGAGGGAGGGAGGAAGGGAGGGAGGGAGGGAAGGAGAGAGAGCTAATGTGGAGCATGCATCAGTGAAGCTGGGAGGGGTCAGGACAGGGGTTATTGATATTGTTCGACTGAGGGGACCTCTGGAAGGCATAAATAGCTGAGGGAAGCGTTCAGGTCTCGTAGTCCCTCCTCAAGACAGCCCAGGCACAGGTGGTTTCCTGCACTCCTATCCTCTACATTTCACTCTTCAACTTCAACGATAACCACATCTGTATCTGCAAACTCAGTAAGTACCCACTCCTCTGTCGTCTCAAGCACTGCCTTACTGAATGTCAAATGTACCTTTGTGTAGTGCGGATCTGACAAGCATGCATGCAATGAGTAGGTGTTATGTGTGGAAAGCAAAAGCTATTCGTCACTCGTCTAAATGTTTTGAACAAGTGTTCTATGAATGCATGATGTTCCTATTGGCATAAGCTTATTTATATTCATGAAGTCTGACAATTCACATGTGAATTGTCAGACTTAATGTCGCCGCTGTTATATTCCTAGGCTTTCATTGTCAGTAGGTTAGCTGTGCATGTTCATACTCATGTAGCCTAATGCCTACAGGTACATTTCAAATGCAATAATATGAATGAAGACAAATGATCATATATAGACTGCAAACACCTTAGAATTCTCTCAGTACAGATATTAATATAGACATCTAAGTTGATTTCAAGTCTGCATCTGACCTGCTTCTGTTTCCCATTTCACTCTCACTCACATTGTTGCACTGGGTTTAGGCTAAGCGAGAGTTTGAGTCTCCTCAGTCATATGGACCACATACTTTAAACCAACACAGAACGAATGTGGTTGGTTGCCCAGTCAAGTGGTGCAGAACCTGAAATTCCCCTCTCTCTTTTCCAGCTCAGTAACAAGCATGGAAAGTGGCATGAAATTGAGCAGCACTAGCAGTGTGGTGCACTGGCTAGCCAGCCTGACCCTGACCCTGCTTGGGAGTGTCCACCCCATGCCTGTGACCATAGACCCGGTGTGCATGGCAGACACCACTGCTAAGTACAGCCTGACATTTACAGGGATGTGGAGCCAAACCTCCTTCCCCAAGCAGTACCCAATCTACCGCCCCCCTGCCCAGTGGTCCCCTCTCATTGGTAAGTGAAATATTTTTTGGGCGGCAAGTAGCCTAGCAGTTAAGAGCGTTGGGCTAGTAACCGAAAGGTCACTGGTTCGAATCCCCGAGCCGACTAGGTGAGAGATCTGTGGATGTGCCCTTGAGCAAGGCACTTAACCCTAATTGCTCTTGTGAGTCAGTTTGGATAAGTGCGTCTGCTAAATGTTAAATAAAATGTCCCCTTATTAGCCTGTGATCTGACTCCCTTTGTTTATATTGTAATAGTAATCCTATACTGTAATAGATTCCTATATTCATTAATAAAACATGGTATGAAAAAATACTAAATTTATGGTAGCAGACATGCATTGCAGATTTCCCCATTTCCCCTAGAATTTAAAACCCTTTGAGCACCTGGAAAAGCAGTATATGAATCCAATCCATTACTATTAGGTTACAGTGTGCCTGAAAAGCAGACCTTTTAAATACATTCTGAGCTGCTAGTTAAGAGCTAGACTAACTTGAGGAAACAATCCATGTAATATGTTGTGTGATTCTTCCATTCCAGGGGTGACCCACAGTTCAGACTATCATATCTGGCAGCGGAATGCGTTTGCAAGCAACGGGGTGAGGGAGTTTTCTGAGAAGGGCGAGGCCTGGACTCTGATGAAGGAGGTGGAGGCGGCTGGGGAACGCATCCAGAGTGTCTATGGGCTGTTCTCCGCTCCAGCTGTGGTCGGGGGAACGGGCCAGATGACCTCAGAGTTCGAGGTCTTTGCAAGGCACTCTTTCGTAAGTAAACTTCACAGAGCGTTCAATATCTATCTAAAATACATATCTCGATTTATGTCTATCTAATATACCTCTCTCACTGTCCATCTATCTAATATACCTCTCTCAATGTCCATCAATCTAATATACATTTCTCAATGTGCACCTGTTTACTTGAAGAACCTTTCTAAAGGTTTGTCTCTTCGAGACTACACCAGAAATCAAGTATACTGTCATAGAGAGATTGCTATCTCAAACCTACACAACATATTCTAAACCTTGTACCAACTTTTAATATAAAATGTTTTTATGAGTGTTCCAGTAGGTATAGATTAGTAGATTAATATATTTGCTGTTCAGTTGCCAACTCTCATTTATATGGCCCAAAGCTAACAACCGTAATATAAAAAAAATAAAAATAATTCTACACAACATTCAGAGTCTGCATTTGGGACCAGTTACAGTTTCTTATTATTGGCCACCAGGTTTCCAATAAAATATGTCAGCAAAAAGAACTCTTACTGTTGGAACTCTCTGTTGGAACTCTCTGTTGGAACTCTCTGTTGGAACTCTCTGTTGGAACTCTCTGTTGGAACTCTCTGTTAGAACTCTCTGTTGGAACTCTTACTGTTGGAACTCTTACTGTTGGAACTCTCTGTTGGAACTCTCTGTTGGAACTCTCTGTTGGAACTCTCTGTTGGAACTCTCTGTTAGAACTCTCTGTTAGAACTCTCTGTTGGAACTCTTACTGTTGGAACTCTTACTGTTGGAACTCTCTGTTGGAACTCTCTGTTGGAACTCTCTGTTGGAACTCTCTGTTGGAACTCTCTGTTGGAACTCTCTGTTAGAACTCTCTGTTGGAACTCTCTGTTGGAACTCTCTGTTGGAACTCTCTGTTGGAACTCTCTGTTGGAACTGTAGTTGAGGAAAGCTCTGGAAAGATGAGAGTGCGGAATAATGAAGAGCAGATTAAGACTGCTGATCCTTTGACTGTCTGCACTAAATTTGAGTTTACTGTTAGGCGTACTCCTAGAAACGTCAACACATAACCCATCCTACTCCTCCCTCTCTCTACAGCTATCCTTCATAGTGAGGATAGTTCCCAGCCCAGACTGGTTCCTGGGAGTGGACAGCTTTAACCTGTGTGAGGGAGACCAGTGGAAGGAAAGCATCACACTGGAGCTGTACCCCTACGATGCAGGCACTGACAGCGGCTTCACCTTCTCCTCTCCCAACTTTGAGACCATTCCTCAGGACAAAGTCACACAGGTAAATCTAAAAGAGCCCATGGTTCATCATCATGTGGATACTGTATGATAGTGATGATGCTATATCAGTTTTCGGTAATCAACACCAGCAGTGTTGTTGACAACACGACTTGATTTTGTCCTTTCCAGATAACGTCATCTTCTCCAAGCCATCCTGCCAACTCCTTCTACTATCCCCGTCTGAAGAATCTGCCACCCATGGGCAAGGTCACCCTGACAAAGACCAAAAACAACCAGATCTTCAGCATACCTATGGAGCCCACCCAGTTCAACCAGACTGCCAATGAGATTGGCAATGAGATTGAGGACTCTCTTATAAGTAAGCAAGAAACATGTAAGAAACAAATACAGTGAAAATGCATAACTAATATTTATTGCTTGCTATCCTCCAATCCTACCCCTCTGATAGAAAACAATCTGATCTGGCAAAAAATAGTAAAGTAAAGCCTAGCGGTAATCGGATCCATTGTGTTGGAGTCAGCAAGAGCTGCTCCTCTGTGCCCATGGCAAATCAAAACCAGGCAACACACAGGATAAAGGAGGTCAAAGGCATTGGACATTTCCTGCCACTCAGCACTGATGTCAAGTAGTCCAGCCTTGCTTTTATTTCCATGTTCCATCCTTCTGCTTCTCTAATTCTCCAAAAATAACCTAAATCTGTGCTAGATATCAACATTTTACAGGCTCATAACTTGGGGGGGGGGCTTGGCAAACATACAAAGTCAAGTTTCTGTAATTTAATTATTCAATAAAAGTCCATCCAGATGTAGCAACCGTAGCCAGGAATGTACAGCTAAGAGCTTTGGATATATAAAAGCATATATTTTAAAGAATTTCCTTACATTGGGATTTAATTTGGCATATATACGAAATACATTTGGTTACCCTGTAAATTCTATACAATCATAAAATGTCCTGTATTCTACAGTTTTACAGCTATATTTTACATAGCACTTGGAAATATTCTATAAACTATTTTTTTCTGTTTGAGCAAATGAACTAAAAGTTTAGTATCAGACAATAAATCAAGTCTTTCATATGAAATGGTGTTGGGTGGCTTAGCTAAATCAGTCATTTTAACCTATGCCTGAGGGCTTATCCTTCTGTGGCATGTTATAACTCCAGCAGACCACCACACACACAGAGGGCCCCTGAGCCTGGCTAGAGAAAGGGTCACTGAAATCATATCACCCCTTACTGCTGCACGCTCAAGTGTTACAGGTCTCTGGTCTCTTGCAATTCAAGTGTTCTTTGGATTGCTAAAATATTGCTAACAGAGTATCTCTGGTGTCCTTCCCACTAGATTCCACCCCTCTGGACTGTGAGGTGTCTGTATGGTCACCCTGGGGCCTGTGCAAAGGCAAATGCGGAGACTCAGGGGTGCGCCACAGAACGCGCTACATCCACCTACAACCAGCCAACAATGGGGTAGTCTGCCCCCCACTGGAAGAGGAGAACAAATGCATCCCTGATAACTGCTTATGACTGGCTGGCAAGGGTAAGAAACAGAAAATAAGAGGCCATGCAAGACGACAAAGAGTACGAAAGATGCGTCCGTCATCTCCACTGGAGAAGTCCAAGCTGTAGAAATTCACCCTTTTCTCGCTGGGCTTCCTAGCCTATTCACTGGGAAAAGTGCAGGCTGGTGAGGGGAGGACGGTTCATAGTAATGGCTGGAATGGAATAGATGGAACAGTATCTAACCATTAGAAACATGTGTTTAATGCCGTTCCATTAATTCCACTCCAGCCATTACTATGAGCCCGTCCTTCAATTGAAAGTGGCACCAGCCACCACTGACTGGGAAAGATTTATAAATGGGTCATAGACAGGCAATTATTGTGTAGCCAGAGGAATGAAGAGGTTGTCTTGAAACTTTGCCCATAGTTCTTCCTTGTGATGAATGTTCCCTACGTCATTGGGTTTTCTGAGGTAGCTAGCCATGAGTCTGAAAAATAATTATTACATTCAAATCTGGACCTGGAAGTCAGTTCCACTGTTCTTCTTCTTCTTCTTCTTCTTCTTCTTCTTCTTCTTCTTCTTCTTCTTCTTCTTCTTCTTCTTCTTCATTCTTCCCCTCTAATCCAGGACTGATTTAGACCTGGGACACCAGGTGGGGCCAATTCATTATCAGGTAGAACAGAAAACCAGCAGTACTCCGGACCTTGTAGGGTAAGATTTGAATACCCCTGTTACAGACGATAAGGCAGTCAACCCCAAAACCTCAGAGAACAGAGAAGTCATGGTGCTTCAATGGCTTCATTACTTACAACAGACCAGATGTGTGTTTACAGATAAAGCATTGCTTTCCATTATGATCTCTACTACAGAGAATATATTTATTTACAGGGTTTGGACCTGTACTGTACAGTAACAAGCAGTAGAAATCTCACACTCGGTCGTGCTATTGAGATATTGTCAAAATCAGAGAGAAATTGCAAAATGCGTACTTGTCAGAGAAAGTATACCTCCTTGTAAAAAACCAGTAGACTGTCTGTATGTATGTTCTTTGTAAGTCCAATAAACTGTAAATACATGTAAGTTGATTGCAATTTTATTTCTAATTGATGTAAAGCAAAAATATTTCATACAATCAACAAAATCCATCATGCTACACCACAGCATAAAATAGGTCTATGAAACACAACGATCTCAAAGGAGTGTCCCTGTCATGAAAAGCTTTGTTACTCATTGATGTTGTTTGCTATCTATGCCAAAGCTTTCATCAGTCATACCTGACATACTTCATCATGCCATGTCCCATGATAAGATATGACAAACTGTCTTACAATGTAGCACAAATGAGCTCTTCCCTAGAAAACCCCTAAGCTACAGAAAACCTGAGAAATAGACTGACTCCAAGCAATTGCAATCATCGCCTACATCTGGCCCATTGGTGCCTTCCGCTTCATATATTTCTGGTTGTTTCTCAAGTGTTGGTCTTATTTCAAACCAATGAAAACTGATGGAAAATTACTGGGAAAAGTAACAGGAAAAATAGACAGAGATTCTTGGCTTTTGATGGAGGACAGTCTTTGCAGATGCTATGTGAGTACACTCTTAGGGAAAAAGGTGCTATCTAGAAAAGGGTTCTTCGGCTGTCCCCATAGGAAAACCCATTGAAGAGTTATTTTTGGTTCCAGGTAGAACCCATTTGGTTCCAGGTAGAACCCTATTTGGTTCCATGTAGAACACTTTCCACAGAGGGTTCTACATGGAAACCTAAAGGGTTATAATAATAATAATAAGCCATTTAGCAGACGCTTTTATCCAAAGCGACTTACAGTCATGCGTGCATACATATTTTTTTTGTGCATGGGTGGTCCCGGGGATCGAACCCACTACCTTGGAGTTACAAGCGCTGTGCTCTACCAGCTGAGTTCCAGGTAGAACCCATGGGGGACAGCTGAAGAACCCTTTTGGAACCCTTTTTTCTAAGAGTGTAGGTTTCATGATGGTACAGTGGACAGTAATTAATAAGTGAACTATTTCATGTTTCTTTATCAATACATGTGGGCTTCTACTTCTGGTCAGGCTTATCAGTTTCTCTGCTGACCTTGGGTGCCCACTCAGATGCACAGTTTGGATGGGTCGGTCGCAGCAACAGCAGGTGTCAGTTTCTCACACCAGAGTGGTCGCCTGCACACCAGCAACCATAAGGCTCATTATACTCATTTAACTTTGTCACATACTGTGTGTCAAAATGAATGTGAGGGGCATTGGGCTGTGGATGCTGTGTTACCTGGCACTGACGGCTGCTATGTACTTTGATCTGGGTGAACAGGAGGAAAAGTGGCTCATTGAGGAGATTCCAGGCAACATGCTGGTCACAGGTGAGCTCTATGGGCAGGTGGAGAGGAGGACATTGTTCTGCATGGTTGACAGGTGAGTTCTATGGGCAGGTGGAGAGGAGGAAATTGTTCTGTATGGTTCAATCTCACCCTGCTGTATCTCAGCCTATCAGAAAAACACCACAAAGTTCAATGGGTTAACAGAGATCATGATGAAGTCAACCCAATTAAAGAGTGAAATGGGTTAGCATAGATCATGATGAAGTCAACCAGGAGGCATATGAAATTTGCTTGATATTCTAGTAGTATTTGCACGCTTAATTAGAAAAATCGTCTCTACTTTTAATGTAATAATGGTTTACTCCCAAGCAATCTAAAGCACATTGAGATGTAATAAAACATTTGGAATATCATCTGTCAGTGTTATGTTTTTCTCAGTTATTTTATTTTGGAGAATTGTGAAAAAGAACCCTAACTCCCCTCCTCTTGGCCTGACTATCACTGTGATCCAGAGCACCATGTACGGAGGCCTATAGAGCAGTTTACTACCCAGACAACTCTCTAAACACAAACATGTTCTCCTGATTACATAAAAGCATTCCTTAAACAGAGAAAACATACTCTTAATATTGTTCTCCTTTTTCTTTTGGTTCTAGACATTAATGAAAAAAAATATGGCAGATTTGGAAAATTCACATTCACATCCCATGCCTCTGGCTCACATTGGTTGTGCATGCAGTCCAACTCTACTCTAAGGTTTTCCATTTTCGCCAGTGACAGCCTGGTGAGTTCAACCATACTTGCACTGAGTCTGCTGGACTGTGTTGCTCCACAACCATATCTGAATATTTTTCTGATATCTCCAACGCAGAGGATTCATTTTGATGTTCAGATGGGAGAGCACTCTGTTGACCCCAGTGCTGAGAGGCACAAAGACACAGTCCAGACCATTGAGTACAGCCTGAAGCACCTAAGAGACCAGATGTTATACATCACCAAAAAGGAAATAATCACAAACACACTTTGTTATGAAAGGGTCATTTTCCAAAATTCTAGTTTCAGAACAAAACAGACTATTGTTTTGATCAGAACTAGGCCTACAGTACAATACATGAAGACAACAAATATTGTGTTGAGCTACTAGGCCTGTCCTACTAACGGTCCAGAATGAACTATTCACCAACCCTTTTATTTATATTCACAGGAACGAGAGGAGACGTTTTGCCAGATCAGTGAAGAAACCAATAGGAAGGTTTTGTGGTGGGCTGTTGTGCAGACTTCCATTGTACTATCAGTTGGATTTTGGTAAATCAAAAGACTGAAAGACTTCCTGATTGCAAAGAAGTTGGTTTGATAAGAACTGTAGGGCAGGAATTATGTCTTGCAGTACAATGCAAAGTGGCCACTAGAGTCAACTGCTATTCCAAACTAGACTAAGATCAGTGCTGAGGAGGTATCTACTTTACTGTACATCCTTCTAGAGACAATGTATGAATTAATAAAATGTGTTTTGTTTCATCTTACACAACTATCCTAATGTTTATTTTTTCTTTCAATGAATGCCCCAAAATGTAAATAATGACGTAGCCAGCCAATCAGAAAGCGATCTGAAATGCAAACAAACCGAAAATCAGAAGGTAGCCAGGCTAGTTAATAGCTACTGTAGCTAAAGCCAGGAAAACGACACAGAAAGTTTTGTGACAGTTTGCTAGCTAGTTCCATAGAGAAGAAAAGGCCATAATGTAAGTCAGATGTGGGTCTTTCTTCAGTAAAATATCCTTTACTTTTAGTAGATACCTGTTCGGGGGCAGCTAAGTTAGCTAGCTACTGTAGCTAGCTATTTTTTTTTAGCGTTGACACGCAAGCTAACGTTAGCTAGCTAGCTAGTTCGTCTGTGCTATTACCAGGCTATTATAGTCCAAATTGGTAGCCATTAATCTATTTTGGCTGATCTATTCGACTTGAAAGCAAGAAGATAGTTATAAATTCAGACATTCTATGTCATAGTTTTATGTTATGTTTTTACTATCTAACATTGGCTAATGTTAATCTCTTAGCTATGGAAAATGGCTTACTGGATCTGCTGTAACTCCTGCTTCAACCTCCCTGGTCCTGAACGCAAACTAGCTGTTACCACCTGTGGTCATGTCATCTGCAATGTGTGTTTTCAGAAAGGTAGCATGTTCAGTCTGTCTATTTAATTGTGCCAATGCACCCTGTTATGTATCTTTAAATGAATTAAGCTCAGCATATCATACTACCTTACTTCTGATGCTATATGAGAAAATATATGTTCCTCCATGAAACTCAGCCTATTTCTCGGTTTGCAGCAGTTCTGTCTTTTTTAGAACACACAGGCTAAACTTGAACACACTGACCTCTGCTGGTCTTTGTCTGATGTTACAGAAACAATTTGGCTATACAAAAAACTGTCATGCTGTTTAAAAGCATCGTTCTAGTCAGTGTTATATTCTTAATGGCATGCTATTGTATTGTATATGATATTGTGCTTGTTCCAATAACCACATTGTACATTTTCTTTCAGGCAATCAAGGAGAATGCCTGATATGTAAGGCAAAATGTCAAGTTACTCCTCTCTCAGACAAAGTAAGTAGTGATACAGTATCTTATAGATGTGTTTGTCTGGCGAGGCTCACAAACAAATCTATTTGATAACCTAAACTTTACAATCTTTACTTTCACAGAGTAGTGCAGAAGTAAAGGCCCTCTTCTCTGACATCAATTCTGTAGCAACCAAACACTTCACAGAGATAAGCAAGGTATTTCTCTTGATGCTCATAATAGGATAGGCACATAAGAAATTAGCCTATTTATAGTGAACATTTTTAAACACCTCAAGGTTGTACACTGCCGGTCAAATGTTTTAGAACACCTACTCATTCAACGTTTTTTCTTTATTTGTACTATTTTCTACATTGTAGAATAATAGTGAAGACATCGAAACTATGAAATAACACATATGGAATCATGTAGTAACCCAAAAAGTGTTAAACAAATCAAAATATATTTTATATTTGAGATTCTTCAAATAGCCACCCTTTGCCTTGATGCACACTCTTGGCATTCTCTCAACCAGCTACACCTGGAATGCTTTTCCAACAGTCTTGAAGGAGTTCCCACATATGCTGAGCCCTTGTTGGCTGCTTTTCCTTCACTCGGCGGTCCGACTCATCCTAAACCATCTCAATTTGGTTGAGGTCGGGGAATTGTGGAGGCCAGGTCATCTGATGCAGCACTCCATCACTCTCCTTCTTGGTAAAATAGCCCTTACACTGCCAGGAGGTGTGTTGGGTCATTGTCCTGTTGAAAAACAAATGATAGTCCCACTAAGCGCAAACCAGATGGGATGGCGTATCGCTGCAGAATGCTGTGGTAGCCATGCTGGTTAAGTGTGCCTTGAATTCTAAATAAATCACTGACAGTGTCACCAGCAAAGCACCCCCACACCATAACACCTCCTCCTCCATGCTTTACGGTGGGAAATACACATGCAGAGATCATCCGTTCACCCACATCGTGTCTCACAAAGACACAGCGGTTGGAACCAAAAATCTGTAATCTAATGTCCATTGCTCGTGTTTCTTGGCCCAAGCAAGTCTCTTCTTCTTATCGGTGTCTTTTAGTAGTGGTTTCTTTGCAGCAATTCAACCATGAAGGCCTGATTCACACAGTCTCCTCTGAGCAGTTGATGTTGAGATGTGTCTGTTAAGTCTGTTGAACTCTGTGAAGCATTTATTTGGGCTGCAATTTCTGAGGCTGGTAACTCTAATGAACTTATCCTCTGCAGCAGAGGTAACTCTGGGTCTTCCATTCCTGTGGCGGTCCTCATGAGAGCCAGTTTCATCATAGCGCTTGATGGTTTTTGCGACTGCACTTGAAGATACTTTCAAAGTTCTTGAAATGTTCCGTATTGACTGACCTTCATGTCTAAAATTAATGATAGACTGTCGTTTCTCTTTGCTTATTTGAGCTGTTCTTGCCATAATATGGACTTGGTATTTTACAAAATAGGGCTATCTTCTGTATACAACCCCTACCTTGTCACAACACAACTGATTGGCTCAAACACATTAAGAAGGAAAGAAATTCCACAAATTAACTTTTAAGAAGGCACACCTGTTAATTGAAATCCATTCCAGGTGACTACCTCATGAAGCCGGTTGAGAGAACGCCAAGAGTGTGCAAAGCTTTCATCAAGGAAAAGGGTGGCTATTTGAAGAAATATAAAATATATTTTGATTTGTTTAACACTTTTTTGGGTACTACATGATTCCATATGTGTTATTTCATAGTTTTGATGTCTTCACTATTATTCTACAATGTAGAAAATAGTAAAAAATAAAGAAAAAACGTTGAATGAGTAGGTGTTCTAAAAATGTTGACCGGTAGTATATAAAAACAACATATTTATCCACTCTATTAGGTGTTACTATTCCAGGCAAGGCACCAAAAGAGGTTGTTGGCGCATTTCCAGCAGAGGGTGAGGCTGGGGGACATTTAGTTGTACCTCTACTACTATTTAATAATACCAAAGAGTTGAATGGTAGCCTATGTCTTGTGGTGTTATAATCTGAAACATCTGTGCTCCTTATTTTTCAACCCGTTTAGAATGAAAAGTTAGAAGAAGTTTTACTCAAGATGAAGCAAGAAATGCAGCAAATGTCCAAGTAAGAATGCAAATCATTAGACATCACGTAGCAGAATTCAGTACCACATATTAACGATGGCTTAGTGCGACTTTAACATTCTTATATTTACCAGAAAAATGACTGAGCAGAATTCCTATATTGCCAAGCTGGAGAGCACTCTTCCGCATCAAAGGTATCAATATCTTTATGGGTGTTACTGCTTTCTACTCACCAGGGGTCACTATTGTCATCTTGATATCAACATATTTTTTATTCAGACCAACTCGTTAGTATTAATGACCATGGTTGGAGATTAATCACATTCCTCTCTCTCTCTGTACAGTGCAAAAGCAGCTTCTACATCTCAGCTGAACCATAGTTCTCACAACGCTCGTTCACAACAAATCAAATCAGATCAAATGCAGATGCCGTTCAACTCGCCCATGTCCCTCTCTCGCCACTCATCTACTACAAGTCTGTAAGTATTACATCTTAGGAAATCTGCATTAGGCCTACGCATATAAAAAAAAAAGTGAACCCTTTAGTTAAAGGTTACAAATGTCTAGCCTAAATGAAGATGCTAGTACATGGCATATATCCAGGAACAAGATAATGTATTGTGTAACTGTTTTCTGATGCTTTGACTTAAAATATGACATGGCGTGCTGCGTTCTGCGGTCGTCCTGACCCTGTTTGATTTATAATCAGCATGCTGTGGACTAGTCTAGCTGACAGACAGAGCATGTGTCTGTCTGCTGGCCTCTCTGGGCTCTCTGTGGGGCCCTTTGCTCCATACCTCTATCACAACAGCCCTGAGCTGCAGGGGAGAAAGGGGATCCTTCAATGTAAACTGTGTATAGCCTGACTTCATTCACCCTAGCTGCTGTTTGGCTTTGCCCTGCAGTACCACACCAGTCTCACCTGAATAAGCTGGGCAGGCTTGTGAACATTACGTCTGAGTGAGCATTTCCATAATCTTTCTTCCTGGGTTCTATGAGAATGAAATGTGACATGCCATGTTATGTGATTTCCCCTCAGGGCAGAAAACATGGAGGTGGATAGCAGGGGTCTGTTTAGGAAAGTATGTGAACCTTTTCAATTGACCAATAATGGTTCAAATCAGAGACAAATATTTATATTATTTGTATCTAAATATGTCTCTGGTTCATATTAATAGTCTACTTATTTAATTTTGAGAGTGAATACTAGATGTGTATACCCTGACTCCAAATCATTCTTTGATGTTTAATACCAGTGATGAGGTCTATTGCATACTGAAACTGGTTTTAATGATCGAGACGTATGTTTGTACAAATAGAAATGTGTTTTTCTCCCTGAACAGCCGGAGCTCTCTGGAAGTGTCCAGAGGTTGTCCTTGATCAGCCCTCCACAGGACGGCCGGATGGGTACGTCTGCTACTCTACTCTGCTCTACTCCACAGACAGACAGATAGATGCCTGTGGAGCTGTTCACTGCTTACATAACAGCACAATGCTTCAATGGATTCAACTTCTGTCTGTTGTATCTGATTAAGGGTTTTCGTTTCTGTTTGTGGTTAGTAGACTCTGCTATGAGTCTGGAAGTCGTGAGTTTTAGCATACAGTATTTAGGGTGTTGCTGAACTTGTGGTGTGTGAATTCTAAATATTGTATCTTTAGGTACTGTCCCCCATCGATCGACCAATCAGAACACCCTAGTCAACCACTCAGCTCGCTCGGCCACTGTCAGGTATAACTTGTTATAATCAGATCATTATGATGACTTAATCATTTATACACCAGTGTGCTATGACACAATAAATTAACTTTGATGCCTTGCCTTCTGTCCTCCCAGCCGTCTGGCGGAGCTGCAGATGACCCCTAACCTGCCGTATCGTAGGGACACAGGGTGGGAGACGCCCGTGTTCAAGCCCCCGTCAGCCTACAGACACTCCTCCATGTCTTCTCTGGTCATGTCCTCTCTGGGAGTCACCTACCCTCCACCATAACACCGCCAAGAGCCAGCCATCACGAAGGCACAAGGAGACGTCTCCGATCCACTTCAATGCCCTCCACGAGTGACTTAGCTAGAGTATCAAATCACTTGGTAATGGTTGAACTCTCCACTGTGGAGAGATAATCTGTAGAATAGGAAGTGTTGGTCAGAAATTGAGCCCCCTTCACACAGGGTTAAGAAGAGTTTGGAAGCTGTAATTCTGTTGGTTGTGTGTGCAGTGTAGCGTGTATATTGTCATTGTAATGGATTACATACGGTATTACTTCATTCATTGAATTTTGTCACAGTAACAAATAAAATTTAACAAACCAATCAAATGGATCTCTCAATAATGAATTGGCTAATAAGACACTGAAATCACAAAACCTGTACTGTAACCTCTGTGCCACTGAGTCATTAATCATTAACAAACCACTCATCTGATTGGCATGTTTAGAGGTTGTGATTTGCAGTATAATTAGTTAACACCCACAGTGAGTCCCAGACAGTGCCAAGTGTTCCATTGGCCTCCAGCATGATTCAAGCAGGACAGGACCAGCTCTGCTCTCTGCTCGGCTGTCTCTGGGGTGCCTGCTGCTGCCTGCCTGTCCCTCCCAGGCATTCTCAAGGTCAATTAATCACAAAGGCACTGTGTGAAGAGGTGTGGGCAACATAATTGTGTTATTTCTTCAAATAGCCTGTCCAACATGGCAGATATGACATATGATTAGAACAACCTCCATGGCCTCTTGATTGCTTCGAGCCCCAAGGGCAGGAAATCTACTTCTTACAAGCACATGTTTTGGCTTTCATAACTACTTTTAGGATTTACAGACTTGCACAGGGCAAAAGCGGTGGTTTGCGTGCAACAGTAGATTGCAGGGTGAGTGCTGGATTGGAACACCTTAGTAAGAGGGCAGTTAGACTCAGAAGGCTACACTTCCCAATCCCTTCTGAATCAGCCCTCTGCTACCAATGACCTGCTACCTTTCAGGACAAAGATAGAGGAGACCTTGTAAGCACACTATGATTATTTCCTGTGGTTTCAATGTTTCCTTAAAGCTTTTAACAGACATGATGACATGGAATGATGACACCCTGGAGACAGCTGTGGAGGGAGATGGGGACCATTTATTCATTTACATGAACTCAGGCAGCTGTAGGCTGCAAATGAAGCATGATGATACACAGGAAGCATGGCGGGAACATGGGTCTGATCTGGCAGAACAAAGTCTCCTGCGGGCCGATGAACCAAAATGACCCTCCTTGTTTGTCTTATTAGAATTCAGCCTAAAACTATTTGTACTGCCAATGCACATTACTATAACGTACAGGTCCCTTGGCAGAACTTTTCAAAGAACCACCTATTCTCAGTTTGGACATAGAGAAGTCTGATTATGGAATCCCAGAAAGTAATTCTACTCTGATAACATTTCAGGGAATGGAAATTCCATTCACATTGATTGGCAGCTGACTTTCCAGTCAAAATGAGTCATGCTAAATCCCTGTGTTGTGCACCCTGTGATAAGTGCAGTGGAGCCACAAGCTGTGCTCTATACTAATGACAAATCAAAAACAGGTTTTTAGAAGAAAAAAAAGAAATATTACATTTACATAAGTATTCAGACCCTTTACTCAGTACTTTGTTGAAGCACCTTTGGCAGCGATTACAGCCTCGAGTCTTTTTGGGTTTGACGCTACAAGCTTGGCACACCTGTATTCTCCCATTCTTCTCTGCAGATCCTCTCAAACTCTGTCAGGTTGGATTGGGAGCGTTGCTGCACAGCTATTTTCAGGTCTCTCCAGAGATGTTCGATCGGGTTCAAGTCCATGCTCTGGCTGGGTCACTCAAGGACATTCAGAGACTTATCCCGAAGCCACTCCTGCGTTGTCTTAGCTGTGTGCTTAGGGTTGTTGTCCTGTTGGAAGGTGAACCTTCACCCCCGTTCTGAGGTCCTGAGTGCTCTGGAGCAGGTTTTCATCAAGGATCTCTCTGCGCTTTGCTCTGTTCATCTTTGCCTCAATCCGGACTAGTCTCCCAGTCCCTGCCGCTGAAAAACATCCCTACAGCATGATGCTGCCACCACCATGCTTCACCGTAGGGATGGTGCCAGGTTTCCTCCAGACGTGACGCTTGGCATTCAAGCCAAAGAGTTCAATCTTGGTTTCATCAGACCAGAGAATCTTGTTTCTCATGGTCTGAGAGTCTTTAGGTGCCATTTGGTAAACTTCAAGCGGGCTGTCATGTGCCTTTTACTGAGGAGTGGCTTCCGTCTGGCCACTCTACCATAAAGGCCTGATTGGTGGACTGCTGCAGAGATGGTTGTCCTTCTGGAAGGTTCTCCCATCTCCACAAAGGAACTCTAGAGCTCTGTCAGAGTGATCATCAGGTTCTCGGTCACCTCCCTGACCAAGGCCCTTCTACCCCGATTGTTCAGTTTGGCCGGGCGGCCAGCTCTAGGAAGAGTCTTGGCGGTTCCAAACTTCTTCCATTTAAGAATGATGGAGAGCACTCTGTTCTTGGGGACCTTCAATGCTGCATAATTTTTTTGGTACTCATCCCCAGATCTGTGCCTCGACACAATCCTGTCTCGGAGCTCTACGGACAATTCCTTCGACCTCATGGCTTGGTTTTTGCTGTGACATGCACTGTCAACTGTGGGACCTTTTATAGACAGTTGTGTGCCTTTCCAAATCATGTTCAATCAATTGAATTTACAACAGGTGGACTCCAATCATGTTGTAGAAACATCTCAAGGATGATCAATGGAAACAGGATGCACTTGAGCTCAATTTCGAGTCTCATAGCAAAGAGTCTGAATACTTGTGTAAATAAGGTATTTCTGTTTTCTATTAAAAACCTGTTTTCGCTCTGTCATTATGGGGTATTGTGTGTAGATTGCTGAGGATGAAAAAAAAAAAATCCATTGTAGAATAAGGCTGTAATGTAACAAAACTAGGAAATAGTCAAGGGGTCTGAATACTTTCCGAATGCACTGTATACACACATATAATTACATGCATATCTTGCATGGACATATGACCCCCCCCCAACACATATACATTCTCACAGGCAGGTATACTTTCACCTACACACATTACCACATGCATACACACACACATACACACACACACACACACACACCTGGTGCTCGTTAGCTCACTCAGAGGTAGAAAGACAGGCTATCATGTAGGGTTAGGCAAAACCCTATCCCCTCTTGCTTCTGGGCTAAATCTGTGTGGATTTAAACCATGGGAAATCTCCTAATAAGGCTTTAAATCTAAATTAGTCAAAGAGTTCCCTAATGTGCCAAGTGAGAGCAGAAACAGAATATACTTTCTCCCACACAGCAGGCACGACGGAGCATTTAATTGCAAAACCGTCAATCTAAAGGCTGTAGGCATAGGGGCTACACATGGCTGACTACTGCTTGATGAGACCATCATTGAATCCCCATCATGGACACGTGTGTTTCATTTATATTCAGCTGCGATTGAACAATGCCTTAATTGTGTTGTACAGATGCACAGAGTTATTCTTATTCCCTTCATTACGAAACATGCAATAAAGAGGAGTTGAAAACGAGTGTGGTGAAAGTGTAAATCAGACCATAGAGTTGGATTACTAAAACGAGAGAATACAGACTTGGGCATGCTGTACCCCATTGGACCCTGTGTAGTGGCATTTCTGACTCAAAGACTGCTGTCAAGAGTCATAATCTGGACCTGTCTAATTAGGTCACAGTTTTCAGGCCATTCCATAAACCTCTCAACAAGCCCTTAGCACTTCACTTCATGAATTTGTCTCTTTTCCACAGCATCGGCTACAGTTGCAAGATTTTACTCTACCAATCGGTTAACTAACATAGATAAATATTGGAGCTGTAAGCACGTGATCATTACTGAGAACAGAAGGAGAAGCCAGTTGTGCAGCTTGTTGTGATGTGCCTGTCCAGACAGGTATCTTTGGATAATCTGTGTTTCCTCTGTTGCCCACAGTAACACGCGTCATTTTGGTAGCTTTTCATAGTTGTGAATGGCCACAATTTAAAAGGAATTAGGTGTGAACAGACGCTATTGTACATGAGAAATGTACATGAACTCCTTTGCTTCACTTGGATTTGGGATAATTTCCTGTTTGGGGTCCAGTGAGAGTGAAATTCAGCCCTGGGGCAAGCTGTCATTGTGTCAAAGAGAGGCAGAGAGAGAAATCTAAATCAGTGCTTTCTCTCTCTCCTGGATGGCTGCAGGGCTTACAAATGAGTCGTGCCACTTCACCGAGGAACAGAAAACAATTTCTAATGGTGAGAGCAATTATTTAACACTCACAGTGTGTCCTCTCATAGAGGCATACATCTGCTTTATAAAATGAAATTACATTAAATTTGCTCCAGTCTTCAAACTCATATTCTCACAAAGCATGTTGTTCTTGTCAACCACAATTTAGGTGGTTGACAGGTATGATTACAGAAATACTTATCTCACAAATAAATGATTATCTTTGCCCACACTTGCTGTTCAGAATATGTGGTCTCAAGTTCTATATATAGAAGAGAGATATGGTTCTAGCCTGGCTACCTATCCACACCGCTCTGGCCAAACGCCACGCCCACTAACATTTCTTCTCCTCAATGATGTACAGAGCAATCAATAGGGCAGTGAAATTAAATTCAGGACGAGTCGTCAGGCAAATATGCTTTAGGCTCAGTTGTCTTCCTGACACCAGCCACCTGTGATGTGAACCAGTGGCCAGTGACTGGCACTATAATCCACTAGACTCCCATGGACAGCCTCTGATTTCAACACAACTTTTGTTTAAGGGAGAATTTGAACAAAACTTTTGTTTAAGGGAGAATTTGAATATAACTTTTGTTAAAGATAGAATTTGAATAAAACTTTTGTTTAAGGGAGAATTTGAATACAACTTTTGTTTAAGGGAGAATTTGAATACAACTTTTGTTTAAGGGAGAATTTGAATAAAACTTTTGTTTAAGGGAGAATTTGAATAAAACT